ACCATGTGTCTGTGTGCCCTAAACCCCAAACCCCAAACCCCAAACCCTAAACCCTAAACCCTGTGTGTCTGGCTGTTAGTCTTTGCACGGCTGTCTGTGTACGGGTCAGCATGCACTGCTTGTACATACATGGGAGTTTACGAAAATAAGGGGTACCGTATTTTGGGGTGTTTATAATAAGGATCCTACTATTTAGGGTACTAATTTAGGGGCATCAGGTATAACATGCGCACAAACATGAATGAATGTCTACTTATGCACATCAACAGAGAAGGATGCACCCATACAGAAGGACTGATGCACCCCTAAACCCTAAACCCTAAACCCTAAACCCTAACTTAAGCCCTGAACCCTGACATGAGGTAAGACCAGGCGCTCTGAGTTCCTGCTTTGGTTTAGGGCTTTAGGGCTTTAGGGTTTTAGGGTTTAGGGTTTACTAGGGTTTAGGGTTTTTGGGTTTAGGGTTTAGGGCTTAGTCCCAAGAACCCATAAGCTGATCTCAGGATCGAAGGATTAGGGTTTAGGGTTTAGGGTTTAGGGTTTAGGGTTTAGGGTTTAGGGTTTAGGAAACTCCCTACAGGCTTCGGGTTTCGAGTTACATCCGGGACGTCTCAAACATGGCTTCCTGACCGGTGGTGAGCGACAGCTTGTACATGCCACCTGCAATGGGCACTGTGGGCCCATGATTCTCACAGGAAGGGGGGGGGATTATATGTATATGTATATACACATATAGACACACATAATGACCATAATAAGTACAACAATACTTGTAATAAAAGTATATAAATGCAAAGAATAAGAACGATGGCTTGCTTCTTCTTGATTCATGTAACTTCGGTTTGCGGGCGGCTTCAGGGATGGGAGAAACCATTGAATCCCATGCCCGTCCCCATTTAGGGCTTATGGCTTAGGGGAACTAATCGTCATTGGCTTCACATCTCTGAGCGGGTGTTCTTGACGCCCGTTGCAAAACGTGCACCTGCCACTCCTTAGTACTACGGCACTCCGGCGTGGGGTGCATTCCAACAGCGTTCCAAACATATGGGTGGTTGTCAAAAACTATAATACGGCACCTATTATTTAGGGTTCCCCAAAGGGACCCTAATTTGAGAACCACCCATATCTAAGCCCAAACCCTCGGCATGTTGTACGAACACCCGATTAGGAGTCGGGCTGACGCGATCCAGCTTCGCTGGGTCAACGACAAAAGGAAAGAACAGGCACATCTTCTGCTTGAAAGCTCTTGGACTCAAATTAAGTAGGTCACACAACAAGTATGGTTATGGATATGACTGATACCGTATCTCTAGATGCATGGCTTAGTAACCCCTCTCGCCCCTAAACCCTAAACCCTAAACCCTAAACCCTAAACCCCACTTAGTAGGCGAGAGGCGTTTATGGCGAGCTTTGAGTTGCAACTTCACCATGACATACTAGGGTTTAGGGTTTAGGGCTTTAGGGGTTAGGGCTTTAGGGTTTAGGGTTCAGGGTTTAGAGTTTAAGGGTTTAGGGTTTTTTTAAGTGTGTTGACATGCCCTTTCCGACCGCCTGCTAACGTAAGCACACACTGTGAAACATGAACT